GACGCCACGGCACTCTAGTCAGGGCAACAGAGCCAGACTCTGTCTCAAAAAACAAACAAAGAACAAAAAACAAACCAACAAAAAAAGCCAAAGTCTTAAAAGTGCGTGTGATCCCCAAAGAAATAAACGTGTTTGAATCTGTAGAGAATCTATTGCAAATAGTGGGTCAGCCTTTTATTTTGAACAACTCTCCTGATGGACTTTGGAGAGGAGAAACCGTCATTTGGCCAAAGTTTCCCTTCTCCACAAACTACCTCAGGGCAATTTTCTAGGAGTGACCATGGGTATGTTTATGGCCTTCTCTCCCACCCTGACTACGGAATGGAACCTAAAAGATTTCCAAAGGGAGGATTCTCTTTGCCAGCAGGGAGCCTAGGGCCATCTATCAAAAGAATGCTTTTGTGGTTTTCTGTTTGGGGGTTGGAAATCTGATAGTGATCACTAGGCAAAGGCCTTGGAATTGAAGTGTGTGAGGACAGAACACAGGAGAAGGAAGAGGATTTGGTTAAGTGTTGCTGTATACTATATTTTATCCTCTTTTTTGAAAAGAAAAGAATAGAATTTCTTTAAATTCTGGCTGTGAAACTGTACTACTTATCCAGGCACATCTTAAAACCAGGCCAGGGAGGACAGGCTTTGTAAGAGTTATTTTTCGGTTGCTAAAAATTTAGGAATGTGAGCTCCTGTGTCAGTCTTAATTGGAATCCAACTCTGCCACTTACTAATTGTGGGACTTTGGGTCAGTCACTTGGCCTTTCTGTACTTCAGTTTTCTTATCTGTAAAATAGGAATAGTAATATCTATATCATAGGGTTGTTGGGAGAATTATATGTTTTAATATGTGAAAAGTATCTTGAACAGTGAATACTATATAGTATCACTCAATAAATGTTAACTATTATTATTATTCAAAGAAATTTTAGAATGGAAATTTGGGGATGAAAACGGGACTTCAAGCAGTACAAGTTATAATTATTAATAGTTTACAGTACTCTACTTAATTTGAATACAAAGAGCCTTGGAAACGTGGAAGAATGAGATA